TCTACTTATCGTAATTGTAGCACCTATTGCGAGACGAGGCAGCAAAAACCGAGCAGAAGAAGGGTCGTTCATCAACTCCTCCGCGATCACAACGAAACCTCCATCCCTCCCGAGGATTCACTCAAAGTTGCTGAGAAAATTAAAGAGCAATATTCATACGTGTGTCCCGATATTGTCAAGGAATTTAAGAAATATGACCAAGAGCCAGGAAAATATTTTACAAAATATCAGGGCGTGCATAGTGTTACCGGAAAGGTGAGGATAGAGAATGAAAGTAAAATGGAGTGACAGGCTTAAGATCACTTCTATGCCAAATACTTTCAGAATTCTGTAAAAATAATTATGCATCTATTTTTCTACAAATCAATCTTAATTCCTTTGTTTTCTATTGAAAGCCTTATGAAGTAGATGTCGGCTTTGAACGTTTCCTTGGACCGGAAATTTTCTTTAATCCAGAAATTGCTTCATCTGATTTCCTAACGCCCATACCTGATGTTATTGATAATGTTATTCAATCTTGTCCAATCGACACTCGACGTGGTTTGTACAAGGTGTGTTAAGTTTAAATGGGACCATATATGAAATTGGTAGTGCTAATGGCGCATTCGCAGAATATACTCTATCTAACCACAGTTAGCAACTCTCTATATCGGTTTGATTAGAATATCGTACTTTCTGGCGGATCAACAATGTTCAAAGATTTTGGTAAAAGGCTTCAGAGAGATATCAAGAGGGTTGTTGACGCGAGAATAAAGAGAAGTGAAGAGCTTAGTGGAGGATTGTTGAAGGTAAGCAGTGTAATTGTGTACTTCAATAGTGGACACATACCTCTTGACTTACATCTGTCACTAATATAATATTAACCAATTTCCGAATCAAGTCCACCCCAATTGATGTAAACGTCATTTCACACAAGAAACAGCGGTATGCAGTGTGGTTTGGAGGATCGTTACTGGGATCAACGGTAACTAAATGAATCTTTAGTTATGGAATTATTAGAGTGACGAATAATTACTGAAACAATTCTAACACTTCTTCCCCTGCAATTTTTGGTTTTTCATTTAACTATATTACTATCGAAAAGCCCCAGTTCTATTCATATTGCCACACCAAAGCAGAGTATGAAGAATACGGGCCAAGTATCTGTCGGCATAATCGTGTGTTTGGCAGTCTCACTTCGTAGATCTTGGCTTCTGGAGATGATAAATTATTTTAAAGATGTAAAAAAAAAAAGGGCTAGGGAACGATGTATTGAGCTGCGAATAAAATGATATTTAATGCTGTATAGAGTTAAACCGGAGCATGAACATTCGATGAGGCTATGTTATGTTCGGAAATCTAGTTTATTGTTATTACAATTACGTCGTAATCAAAATATTCTACATTCCATCCCAACTGCCATTTGAGTCTTTCTACGCAAAGTGTTTTATTTAATAACAGCGGTTATTGAGCCCGTTTCCGTTTTCCATTAATTGGGGCCTGGCGTACTACGAGAGCATTCTTTAATGCAGCTTCCATGTGTTTGAACATCTAGAAAATGCGATAGTTCTTATCAATACTGAACGACATAAAGGTTCGATAACAAATTTATCGTCTTTCCGTCTACAGTTACGTATTAAAGTTAAGATAAACACATATTCACGAGCTAATCCTAAATCCGGATTTTTTGCGAATCTAAGCTGCCTTGGACTTGCATAACCACGCGTTTGTCATAATCTCCATCATGCTCCTTTTACCATCATTATGCATTCTACCTCACTTACCAGCCGTACGACTTTCCCATCTTCACCTGCTGTTTCCGCAACTTCATCTATACGCTCTAGCGTTTTCCTTATCTGCTCAACCATTCTTTTATTCTTTTCTATACGTTCGGGGGCCGCGGAATTTACTGTTGACCAGAAATGTCGAAGAAATTCCTTACTAGCTGAATGAATGTTCATAACCTGCTGCTCGAGTGCTGGAGGAATTTTCATTTCTGCAAAGAACAAGGGAGACTGGTAAGTACGAAAATAAAGAAATGTTGCAACTGCGATGCTGATAATTACCCGAATTTCGTTGCCGCGCGTTTAAGTTATTCCTATCTTTGATGGCTTTGTTGAGCATTTGTGTGACTTGGGATGATACTGATCTCCTTATTGGCTTTTGTTTTCGAACAATTGATAAAGATAAGTTTTGGAGGTAAAGTCGAGTATATTGACAATCTCATTATATGTATCGTTTTCGTAGATCACCTTCCGCAAATCGGGATGCCAATCTGCAAAGAGAGCTTTCATATTTGTAAGAGCGGATGTTGGAAACTATACGAGAGATAAAGAAATTTTAATTTGAATAAGTGATGTCTAACTATTCCTCGACTTGTCATGCTTTTTTCTATCATACATCCTTGTTAGCAGTATAAACGCATTACCTTTTCGTTTTGTCCAATATCATTCATAGAAGTCCCTGTCTGACTTTCAAAATATCTTCTTGAATCATTAATATTTAACAAAATTCTCGGTTCGATTTCGTCTGCATCAAGATCCTCTATTATAATTTCATCCTTGTACCCTTTTTTCTAATACAGAGGCACGCAGATATAAGCAACGTTGGATGATCTGATGTGTGTATATATATTATATATGGCGTGTTGATATGTGATATATGTGATATATGTATATATATGGATGTGTAGGAAGTACGTATAATATATAGCAAAATTTTTTCCCAAATTTCTTTTTCAGCTGTCTTGCAGTAAAATATGCTAAGGAAGATGAGACGAGCCCGAACCTGTGTATAGTCAGAAGGTGATTCCTTGGGTTTCATCGGCTTTTCACTGTACAATGAATCCCAACGAAATTAAATTTGTAGGTAATATGTGTAGTGAACTAATAAAAGACGTTTTTTTTGCGGATCAAACCTCAACGAGGATTTTAACACCCGTTCAGCATGTCGATTAAATTTTCGAAGAAGTGTCAGTGATTTTCCTGTACCCGGTTGCATTGTTATATCCGGTTCATTTCCACTCTAAAAGTGACACGAATACTCAGTAGTTGTGCTTAAACGTAATGCATAACATCATACATTAATCTTTCATTACCTCCAAATGATCCTCAGCAGTCATGGACAAATCAATCAATCGGTTCAAACGATCGAGCCTTCTCTTCTTGGGACCATGAACTAATTCATCTTCATCTTCAGCAAAGCATTTATCAAATATGTCGTCCTTTTGCTGATTCTTCATTCTGTCTGCATTGGAGCGATTCCTGTGGAAAAATTTGGATTGGAAGTAGCGCTTCCAGAATTCTTCTTCCTTTAACTAAAATCGCAGTTTCACCATCAGCAGATAAAGGATGGGAAAGTTGGACGTAGGAAAAAAAATAACTTACATTATGTGGAACATTTTCTGTATATGCCTTCTTGACAGATGGATAATGTTCAAAAATATCATGAATTATCTGCGGTGTTATTTTTATTTTTACATCTCCGCCTTCCTCTGTTACAGGTTTCAGATCAGGAACAGTTGATGAACGACCCTTCTTCTGCTCGGTTTTTGCTGCCTCGTCTCGCAATAGGTGCTACAATTACGATAAGTAGA